AGTTGAGAAAAAGTTCTTTTTCGTCTTCTGAAATTACCAATTGAACTTAACTATGTTTTCAAGAATGGCTAAATTTCAGAAGGGGCGAAGCACGTTATTCGCCCCCTCAATTTAAATTCACAGTAAAATAAGTAATTTTTGATTTCGAAAATAACCTTAAAGTTGAAAAAGAAATGGTTATTTTTCTCTAAAGTTATCAATTTAACTTGACATTATTATCACGAATGGCGAAATTTCAAGAGGGGCGAAGTACACTACTCACCCTTCATTTAAATTTCAGAATTAAATAAAGTTTTTTTCTTAGAAAATCGCTTCAAAGTTGAAAAAAGTTTTTTTCTTCCTTTAAGTTTACTAATTTAAATTGACTTTATTTTTGTGAATGTCTAAATTTCAGAAGGGGCGAAACGCAATATAGGCCCTTTTATTAAATTTCAGAAGACAATAAGGTTTTCTTACTTGATTTTATTTTCTGGAATGTTTAAATTTCAGGAGGGGCGAAATATATTGTTTGCCCCCTCACTAAAATTTCAGAGGGGGCGACTGCCCCCCCGGCTGGCACGCCACTGCAAGCATTACAAATAATGCTTAGTACTTACATTTTGAATCTTCTCTTAATCGGAAACTTAGTGACAAGAATTTGTTTCTTTTAAATTTAATTCTGTGATAGATAAAAAACATTTTCGACTTATTAGAAATTACAGCAAAAAAAAAAAAAAAATTATCGAGCATCTGAAATTAATTTTTTTCTTATTTTCCGCGATATTCAATTCAAGGAAATTAAATAAAACATGATATTCATTCCCTCTTTTATGCGTTTTTAAATTTGCAAATGTATACCAAATTTGCAAATGTTCTTTCAAAAAGTTGAATGGGAGAATTTCTGCGAGAAAATTTCTGATACGCACATGATGACTTATATTCGCAAAATGCAAAAAAAAAATAAAATAAAAAAGAGCAATATACACAATTATTTTTGCATTTGAATAAATATTTTCTTGGGTGCAAAACCTGAGAAATAATTTTTTTTTTTTTTTGCACCGTTGGTATTTTAAATTTCACAGAAACGAAGAATTTAGTTTTTTTTAAACGAAAGAAAAATATTTTAAACCCATATAGATTTTTTACGAAAATTGTCCTCAAAAAAACGACAACTAATATATTTTAGTTAGCGGGCCTCAAAAAAAGGCTTGGTGGGCCTGATGCAGCCGCGGGCCGAAAATGGTATCCACTGATATTGTATACATATTTTCTCCTGTGTCCATTTCTTAAAAAAAAAACTAGCATTGCTGTTTGTTTTGTTTGCAATCCTGCGATTCTATAATCCACCCTCTCGCATACAAACGAGGCAACTTCGTACGGACTCTGTTAGTCCTGGTCAAAGCATTGATAGGCAAATTTTAAACACAACGCATCGACTGAGCGGTGTTTAAAATAAAGTGTTTTAGAGGCACCGAAAGACAGAGAGAAATTATATTCATTTGCGTATAGTAATATAACACTCTATACTATAGAGACAGTGGGCCTGGTTGGTAGGTCACTGGGGCCATGTCCAAGAATTCGTGGGTTTGATCCGTGCCAGCCGAAGACTCCCCGTGTAGTAAATGGTGACTGATGCTTGTTAAATCTGTCGAGTCGCAAAGACCTCCATGTTCCCATAACAAATCAATACCTCTGGGTTTACTGATCCAGGAGCTCCTTGTCTTCTGGATTGGTTCAAAATTACAAGGCAACGGAGTTGAACATTAGTTGTCGCAAACCCAAAAATTGGGTCGGCTGTTCAACGACAGATATAAAATATAAAGAGACAGTGCAATGACCAATGCCGTTCTCGCAGAGAGGTCCTTAAAGACGCAAACCGAGATCAATAGGCAGCGAGAACCATGATCAATTAGGCAGCATAGATTCTTTGTCACTGCATTCAGTATATACTCATGAAGTATCATTCAGTATACTTCAACATCCACGAGTATACTGTACATGCATCCGCAAGTAGATTCTCCAATATTTATAATGTCCAGTAGGTATGGTTAATTAGGTCGTTTAGATCCTGAAACTTATTTTGATTTCCTGAAGTTTGTGTGTGCTCGGATAGCATTTTTTGCAATAGTGTCTTAATGGTTCGGAATAAATTCCAATGTAATACCTTTGACTCTTACTGATTCAGACAAGTTCACGATTGTCGAATGGTAAGGAAGCATAGTGCAGTTGCAGACTGATCATACAACACCTTCTCTCCGGCATTAGGCGAACAGCAACTTAAGAAAGCGAGCAGTAAATAAAACACATATATGGAAAGAGAATTCCTATACATTTGCATTAGGATGCTCAGATGGAACATTTTAGTGAATTTGAGTAAATTAGTTATAATGTTTATATAAAGATAGTATGTCTTGCCATTGTTCGTGTTAGCAAGCTTTCAAGTGGCTCATTTAAGATGTTTGTCTCAAGGCATTTTACAGCCAAAAGTCAAGTTTTCCAAGGTTACTTATTGAATGTTTATTTCAAATGCACTTAAATTTTCTCTTGTTTAAAAAACAATCAGATACTGTGCCTTGCATCCTTCATGATCTTCAAAATCAGAATAAACGAGTGTTTTAAAGTAGTCAGTAAAAACAATAACAACAACCCATTTATAAGTTAAAGTAATACTTAGAAGAATTATTTTTTGCAATTATTAATATATAAATATCTTTCCTAATTCATATAGTTGGCAGTAATAGCAGTTGGACTTCTTTCCCAATGGGACCTACTTTCGCTAATCATAATTCTAATAAGCTGATCTTTTTTTGTAGTTGTTCAGTTTCAAAGCAGTAGTGTAATTTTATGAAAAGTGTGTATATACTTCCCTAAATAAAATCCTACTGTTAAAACTCCCGCTCATCTTGTGAAGCTGTTTTTCAATAGATTTGAAAGCCTTTCTTTTTAAGTACTATATTATACAAAAGTAACATTGAAATGAACAATAATGAATTATAATTTTTTTTTAAATTCAGAGCACACGAAACAGTCTTTAAAGCGCATGGTTAATTTGTTTTCAATTTATTTGGAGAGAAGGTGGATTCTATATTTTTTTAAGTCCACATTGAAAAAAGAGAAAGGAAGAATTTTTGAGAAATTACAAAAAAAGTTTCGACTCAAATTTCAAATAAATAAAAATAAATAGTTCATAATTAATTTAAACGAAGAGCAAAGAATAGTTCTCAATATCAAGGTTTTAGAAAAAAAAAAAAGATTTAGTAGTAGTTCAAAAAGGAAAATCAAGACATTTTATGTAAAAAAAAAAAAAAAAAAATAACGATAAAAAAAGGAAAATTTTTTATTTATAATTTTAAGAAGGCTAAAAAAAATGTAATACACTGTTTTGAAAATTCCGTTGTATGAGGCATATTTCTTTAATTCTCCATAACATTTACTAGGAAAGAAAATAGAAGTAAAAACGTAGCGTTTTTAAATAAAAAATCAAGATAGGAACAAATTATTAAAAAAACGTAATATTTCGTAATCTGGAATCAAATATCATTATAATAAAAGAAAAGAAATTAATAAATAAAATCATTATTTAAAAAACTGACATTTACAAGGAAAAAAATATTAATATAAAATAATAATAATCGTTAATAAGACGGACGGCAATTTAAAAATAGAAGGCAATTTACTTCATATTTTTTGATAATGAAAGCCTTTAGTGAAAACTAAGAATTTTTAATTAAAAATTATGCAAAATTTAAGTTTTGATTAAAAACAACTTTTGTTAATCAGACGGAAGCATGGTACTCTGACCTCTTCTCTTAGAAAAGAGAGGAAAAAAAGATTGTCTCTGTTACAAGGTGAGAAAAATCATGTATCAGAAACCAAAATAATATATTACATACAGCCCCTCAACCCTTTGACACAGAATATTTATTAAACATGTTTATCATTCATTTTCAGTATTAATTTAGATCAAAATAAGTGAAAATATTATATTTAGCAATTTAATAATTTTTGGTCATAAAATACAACATCAGACAACGGTGTCCCTTTTCGCATTACGGGTAAAATTCTTCAAACATGGTTAATTTCCAAAGAATAATTTTTCAAATATGCACTAATTTGCAGTTATTTAAATCTAAAAGAAACAGTAATTCCTTCTTGAAATTTCTTTAATTTACAAAATCAACTATTGATAATTTTTTGAATATGAATGAAAAAAAAAATTAAAATACTTTTTTTGAATTTTATATTTTAGAACAAATATAATTCCAAGAGTCTGACAGATTTTCTAATAACTATTAGACCGTTTTTAATAATTAAAAAAAAAACAAAATGCATTTTTAATTAGAATTAGAGCACCAGAAAAAAATATATATAAAAAGGGCACCGATGTCTCATCTGCACCAAACTGTTACCCTACTTCAATAATCGCAGATCATTTCAGAAACGAAGTAATGGTAAATTTATAACAGACCATCAACTTATACAATAATTTAAAATTATATTATTGTACAGTTTTTCTTTTGCAGTTACAAAAAAATAAAGAGAAAGCATTTTGTGTTGGGAAAATCTTAACAACTATAAAGCCTGATTTTTTAAAATTCTATTAATGCATAATGTTTATTAGCACACATCTCTTTCGAATGTATTATGTCTTGCAGTGTGTTTTTTTAAACAGGTTCAATAAAATTATAAATATTTAAAAAAAAAAAAAAAGATTTAATTTTTTTTTTTTACATTACCTTAATATTTATCTTGAGGACTCTATCACAATATTTTTCTTACAATACTATGATTCATCCCTATCTTTTCAATACTTTGAAAAATTGTTATTTTAATAATAATTTACAAAAAGGAAAAAAATGAAAGAAAAACAAATCCTTATTCAAATTTAAGAGAAAAAATGAACATTAATTATGCAATATATTTTTGCATTCACTCTTACTTCTATAATGAAGTCAAATATTTAAGATATTGAAGCCACAGAAATACAAATAGTATATAAAAGAAACATATTTTTTCTTCTTTTTTTTAGAGGAACATATTGAATTATGTATATTGAATTATTATAAGAATTGCTCAATAAAATATACTTAAATAAAATTTTTATACAGTGATGATGAATAAAATATTGAAATAATTATTATACACTCTTTATACAATAAAAATTATTTTTATTATCCTTTTTTTTAACATAAATAAATACTTATGAAAACTCAGATCATTATATATAAAATTTATTATATAAATTTAAACTGAGACATAAGTAATGCATTAATAATTTCAAAACTTAATAATAGTAAAGAGAAATACACATTTGTTTCTTAAAAATATCTGAATACACAAAATGCAATAAAAGTATTTATTATATTTCTAACATTATTAATCATTTTAAAGTAAAATATAAGTAGTGAGAAGTGCTGTTGGTTTTTAGTTTAAGCTTGATAATTCCATTTAAAAATAGTTTTGTGGGGAAAAAAAAGAAGGTGAAAGTACAACAAAAGTACAACGAAATCTGTTAAAATGCCTACCTTTTAAGTCTTTATCTTCTGTCTAAGTTGATATCAATAATCAAGAACGAACTTGGTAATATATATATATAAATATTGAACATTTTCTTAAGTGAATAGTTAAATTATTGTCAAATAAATGTTCAACTTACACATATTTCACTATATTAATAACCATTACACTAATTGTCAATATGGAGAAAATGGAAGAAAAAAAAACCGGGCAAGATCACCAAATTAGTTCAAATGAACAAGAAGAAATAACTTTAATAAAAAAGGTCAAAAATTTTTTTCACCCATAAAATTCAACTTGAGTTTTAAGAATTACGAATTTAATATTTTTTAATTTAAGTGCATACATATTTGTACATATTTAAAAAAAGTAGTAATGAAACAAATGTTTACTTTATATAACTTTTACTTATAACAATTTCATATTTGTGAAATTTAATAAGTTGTAAACAAATTTTTACAAATTGTGGTTAGCAAACCATCCCATGGAGATATGTTAACACATTCTAGAAAGTACATAAGGAGTCTGTGTCATCAGTTATTATATGGGAATACTAAGAAGACAAAATAAATAAACGGTTCATTAAAATTTTTTTAACATATTATAATAAAATTAAGAAGTTAGTACCTTTGTTGTGATTGTGTTTTGTTTTGATGCCATCCTATCTTCTAAATCTTACAAGCATAAGTTAAATAACAAGTAACTAATATCAGTTCTCAATAAGAAAAAATATTTCTGGAATACAATTTGTAATAAAAATACAAGTTTAAAATTTTTTGTTACATGTAGAAAAATGCTCAGCAAAACAGTTATCAATTTTTTTCAGTAATATAAATTTCATGCATTTTGAAGTTTCGGTTCATTCATTCATTTATATATATATAAACACTTAATAAATTATAAATAATAACAAATGAACTTCTTTTGCTAGTCTTCTATAGACTTAACCCAATAATCCAAGTTTCTTTAATTCTACAAACTAACATTTCATTGGCAATATAAAATGTTCAGTTTTTATATAACATTCAAAACAATATTTAGCTTTATTTTTACGATTAAAGTTTTGACTTTTGAGTTTGTACAAGACAATCATGCATTTCAGTAAGGCTTTCAGTAAGAGCAGCCATGAAATTGCTGGAGTGCGTAGCTGGACTGCTGTTGCAGGCAGATAAACCAAAATTGATAAAGGATGGTCTTGGATTGTAACAACAAGCATAACCATCAGGAACTAAAGGACCATAACACATAAAAGAATCAAGTGAAGATGGAACCTAAGAATACGTAAAGTAATGAAATAAATTTTATTGAACATTTTACGCTCAGACTAACATAATTTTAAAATTGTAATTTCGATTTATTAATTAAAAATCAGAGATAAGTGATAAAATGATGCACTGAATTTGCATAAAAGTAAAATCTATAAATAAAATTCAATTATGAAAAGTTTTAACAAAATTAATAACAATAAAACTCATGATACGCTATGTAGCACAGGATGATAAATTTTTTGAACATTTTAAGAAGTCTTTGTTTAAAAATATTGAATTCAATAAATTTATTAATTATCATGTTAACAAGCAGCACAGCTATCTTCACCTGGATGAAACAGTGAAGTCATCAATGCGCTTCAGCACACAGAGTTATCGATTTTAAATACTGCTTTGTGCTGCCCTTCTCTAAACTGTTCTATTTGTTTTTCAATTTTAAATGGGTTTGTAAGTCTATTTTATAAAGAGCATTTAGTAAGTATGTGTATAAATGAATTAGTATGTGTATAAACAAATAAATAAATTAAGAAATTATGTCACATTCAATGATATAATTTGCAGAGTAGTTTGGCAGATATAATATATTAAAATATACAAGAAAAAAATTAACAATAAAATTTAAAAGTATATTAAATTTACTAAAAAAAATTTGTTGTATGCATATTTTTTTAAAAAAATTTTTATTTTATAAGAATGAAAAAGGGTTTTTAATTTCTTTTCAAAGCATCGATTTACCATTTATTTGAAAATAATTATTTAATACTAAATCAAGAATGTCGTTGAACTTCATAGTAGATTGTTTCTTTGTATTTCATTCTATTTAAAGATTATGTTAACTTCATAAAATTTAACTGATTAAGTGCTGAGAGGCTTTTTAAAATCTCATTTGCTTTGAGTACATTTGATTTTATAAAGAGAACAATTTTATAAACTGGTATTTAGACTTAGATAAAAAGTTTTAAAGTTAAATTTTGCGAATACAATAAATTAAGAGCTACACTTAAATTTTATTTCAATTATTTTAATTTATATTGAACATAAACTATTTTTACTCAACAGAAAGTTTTTCCAATATTCATGTATTGTTATTTGTTTAGCAGAATTTGAACAAAGGACTCAAGATTGTTTGAAAATTTATTAAATTTTTCAACTACCAGTCACTGGCATCAATAATAGTTCAGCCATTCTATTGTGGCCTGTAGAAATGGAATATTACTTACTTTCCTCCGGAATAATATACATATACAATTGTGAATTTGAACTTAATTTGAAGATAACAACAGGAACTAAACTAAATTAAATAACGAATAAAGGATATCATCCCAGAAAGATACGGCTTAAAGCTTTATTTATGGGAATTGAAAAGGCATGTCTAATTTATGATTAAATTTGATGTTGAGGTTGCTTTCAGTAGATTTTGTTATTTAGTAGATGCCTTATTTATTAGATACTGTTTTGTTTTTCATGTATATGACTGCCCACTAACTGACTATTTCTGTTTTGCCAATGCAAAAAAGAAAATTTCCTCCTTTTTTTAAATGATATATGTATTAGTGTACTAAGTAATATAGGTGCAATAATAATTTGAGCTAACCTTACCCCCATGAAAATTTTCTCATGTGTAGTAACTAGATTATGCATACATTGATGCTTCAGATATCAATTAGGTACAAGTTATTCCTTTAAAAAGTATGAAATATCAAACTATATTATTTGACAGTTGAACTTCTGCTGCTTTTATTTGGGAATTATTGCTCGAATATAAAACTTATTAAGTATACCTGACTAGTAGACAACTTGAAATGAGTACTTGTTGTGTAACCACCATCCATGTATAGATCTGGAACATTCATGCCAGATTCCAAAGCAATTTTTTTCAGACCCAAAAGAAGTCTATCAATACCCATACCATTAACAGCCTGAAAAATTAAATCATTTGCGCTTAGACATTTTCACCTCCAATAACTACAATATAATTACATTAAAAAATATATATTGTGACGTTTTGTTAAGACTATCATTTATTAAAATCTACAAAACAGAATAAATAAACTTGATTTCAGATTGATTGCTTTAAAAAAATGACACTGCAAGTAAAAATATTTAAATTGTAAGGGAGTTTATGTAAAGATCGTTTTTTTAAAAACATTTTTAAACAAAAGCCAGAGTTCAATAAAATTTTCCATAAAATTAAATCAGGATGTATTAAATAAACAGTTTTTGAATTTCATCTATATAGAAATCTGTCATGACATTAAAAATTTCCCATCAATACTTTATACTAAGTTTTCATTAACACTAAACTTACCAACCCTTATTACATACCTATTTCTACCATAGCTGGCCAAATGACCATATTTAATGTTTCCAGATTGAATGTAAGAAATATAGATGTTAGGAAGGAAATAAACAAATTAACTTCAATTAAACTAAATTATATATAAATAATTTATATTATATTACAAATTTGTCTGTTTTCAAAAGTTGGATCAGCTCACTTTTTTTTTTTATCAAAATGGATAAATTTGAGTATTTCTATAAAATTATTTCTTCTCATATTTTCGGAGAAAAAGTTAAGCCCTGAAGTTATTCCACAAAAAGAAACTTTAAAATTATTTGCTCCGTATGCACCTTGTGCATATAAAATTGCAATAAATGCATCTAACTTCTCTTGAGATATATACTTATCAAATACTAACACTCTCTTTGCTTCTTCTATTTTGTATGTTTTTATATGGTTCATAACAATCGTCAATTATCAACAAAAATTCAGTCCTAGCTTAACCCTTCTTAATATGACATTTTGCATATCAAATTAGGCATACTTCTTGCCTGAAAAAATTATAAAGTGGTGATCTTAAAGATGCTCCACCTATTTGAATTACTTTCTAAACAGATCCATGAATTGCAACATGCTGTTAATTTTTTTTTTCTATTTCTTCTTCAGAACTTGAGATAAATCTTATTCTTTTTGTCCACAGCATATACTCACAATATTTTCCTCTTTATTGTCAGTATCGGTACATTCAAACTGATTATTATTTCAATCAGAACATCTTCATTCTCAGAAAATTCATCTTCACCAAATTCCGAAAACTCTTCGCCTACATTATTTATATCTTCTAAGAACTTGTACTGTCCTGATTGTTTTGACATTTTTATAACTATTAAAACTTTTAGTTTTTGTTACTTTTTTTTACACTAAAATGCTACTTCCAAACTAAAATTTCAGGTACTTTCTTGAAATTTTAACGCAGTTATTTTGGTTGAACTAACAGCACAGCAGTCTTTGCAGAAATGAGCAACAAACTGAATACAACATGTTGAATAAGCATGTACATAATAATTTCAAACCCAATAACCTTATAAAGCAATATATTATTGTCTTGGTCAAATGACCGGTATGCGACAAATATTACTAAAATAAAAAAAATACAAATAAAAAAATAATAGAATATTAACTGTATATAATTAATTGAGAAAGTCATGAAATCAAAAGAGCAAAGGCGATAAGATATGTGCATTTTCAATGCAAAAGTTCATAACTGGTTCGCTGACGGGTTATGGTATGTTTAGTGTTAAAGGCAGAAAATTGCTCACTTTGTTTCTTATCCTGCATAGTCATATATTTATATTCTATTTTTTAAATAATGTTTTCAGTTCTTGTTGTAACAATTCACCAATTTCATTTTCACATCTTTTGCATCAAGAAACTGAATAAGCATATTTCAGAGTCTGCAAGCTTTTTAATAGACAGAATACTGTTAAATACTAACAAACACATATAAACACTGTTAAATTCTTCCATAATAACATTTGTAAGACCTATACAAAAATTGACTTTTCATTCTTAGAGGCTTTTTACTAATATTACATATAACCAAATTTTAAACCGAATGCTGAGACATCAAGGGATCAATTCTAAATGAGAACCCTAAATGTGTTCTAAAAGTTACTAATAAATGGTTTAGAATGTTGACATAACTGTCTGAGTTCTCATCTCTTTCGAATTGACATCGTCCTCTCACCTGATTGTACTCTGTGACTCAGGCTATGGAAGCTGAACATTTGGATATGTGTCCTGCACTAAGTGGTTTAAGTTTTTTTGTTAAAAAGTATTGAAGAGCAAGTGCACAAACAGCAAATGTGCTATTTCCTTTAATGTGTGGCATTTGCAAAATAAAAAATTATTTTATTTATGACAAGTCAATAGGTGCAAGCACTCAGTGTAAATACACAGAACAGTGGAAGAGATATTCAAAATGGTTTCCACCTAAAGTAATACTTTGAATTAATTACATAATATAAATTAGAATGTATCAAACAATTCTCAATATTAAATCAGAATTTTCGTAAGTTTTATAACAAATTATGATTACCTTATATATTTATAATAACAAATTTAATTCAGGCCTTATTAAATACATGAATAGTATTGTTTTATTTTATGGTAAAAACAGATTTTTTTTTGTTGGAGCAGTAACTCAAACAAGCAAATAAATTTCTCTTATTTATTACAATATATACAGTTTTTTTTAAAAAATGGTTTTCTGCCTCTTTACTTACTGTCTTAAAATATTAATGCTTAAAAATACATGTATGATTGATACATGGGTGCCAGTTAAAAAAAATTTCAAGACTGAATATATTTTTTTACTAATTAACACAGTTTAGCATTGTTCATCAGAATTTTCAGAAATATATTGGTCAATGACTGCAAAAATCATCTTTCCATGAGAATGGCTCACATATTATATCAATGAATTGTTTATTTCTTCTTTTAAAAAATAAACATATTTTTTCATAGCAGAGAAAGCAAATATAAAAGCTATCTTGTATTTCTTTTTACATTATTAGCTGAAAAATAAACTATCAGCATTTTCTCGAAGTAATTTATATCTCTACATATATTCTACTCCATCTTAAAATTTTATTCTATGCTCTATAAATTTTATTTTTTTTTAAAAAAAAATAGTATAATTTTGCATCAGCTTTTCATTTTGATTCTTGCAGCATTTCTAAAAATTAGGGGAAAAAAAAACTCAAAAAGATTTAACACTGAAGATGCTGAAGTTTCATAATTTCAATTCCTTTATTGTGAAGTGACCATTACTCGATTATTTCGCAATAATAACAAAAAATAATATTTTCATCAAGTAATATTTTTTTAACATTATTTTTAACCAAAGATATTTGCTTCAATTTTTTTAAAAGAAAAAATTAATTTTTTTGAAAAACTCAAAAAACAAATTATAAAGAGATTAATTGTAGTTTGGAATTCAGCTCACTAGCCTTTACTCCAGATTTATTTCAGTACTCAGGACTAAAGAATAGAACAAATGTTGATAGCATAGCAGAATTAGGCATTTTTCTATAATTTATAATCCAAAGAAACTATACAACTAAATTTTGGATTATATAACTTGAACAAGGTTGAATTTTTTTAATTACTATATTTTCATTTTCACAAGCATTCTTTAGTACAGTAGATTGCTTCCCTAAAAATTTTTTTTTTTCTAGAATTAAAATAAAATTACTTAAAAAAAATTATAATATAAAAATAATCTTATTTTTATAAGAAAAGTAGTAAACAAATTAATAAAAAATCTATCTAATTTCTTTAAGAAAAATATTTTTTCAATCTACCTTTGTTGATCAACAACATAACACACTCAAACACTAGATGTTAAAGAATGATGTAAACTAAAATTATCTAATAAGCTTACAATTCAGATTTTTATCTTTTTAAATAGCCTTTAAAGGTGATGCATAATGGCTTGCTTTGTGGATCACTTTGGGATTCTTTTGAGGAATAATTTGTGAATCACAATTTGGGTGCCACAGAGATAGATTGCACATAATAGACACATTATACTCAATATAATATAAACATAAAAAGGACTTACTTGATTTGTATAATCCTTGTGCGATTCAACAGCAGTCCTTAAAGCTAAAACTTTGTCAGCAGGCAATGAGGATTTTTTAGCCATTTCCTCACAAAATTTTAAGCTGTCAACGGAGGCAGAACGTATGACATCAGTTCTACCATGCAAGAATTTGCGGAGGGATGCTGATTCATATGTTGCTGCTATTTCTCCATGTATTCTTGTAGAATGATAAAATAAAGTAAAATTAATACCTAAATAAATTGAGTTAGAGAAACATTGTATGCTTCACATTAATCTATTAGTGACAACAGCTCCTTTTTAGGGACAGTTTTAAAAATACATATCATAGACTCATAATTGGTGGAACTATCGTCAATAATGGTACCACATATCAATTGTTTAGATGATTATTATCATTTTAAAAAAAATCAAGAGAAAAGAATGGTTTATGTCCGTAAAATAAAAAAAAATCAAGCATGGGCAAAAACCATTTTTTCCCCAGCACAACCAATTTTCAGTTGTTATGACTCATGAGTAGAATCAATTTCCCACGTTACTGATTTGTCGACACTTGTTAATTCTATAAATGCAATAGATAATAATCTAATCATAATTTTAATGAAAAATGGACAAAAACGGATCATTCCCCTTATATAAAATATAAAATTTTATCAGACAACAGAAAAAAATATTTTTGTAAATACAATTGTAAAAATACATTTAAAATAAATTTTAGCAAATATTTTTTTTTCTTTGAACTAATTAAGATTTTGAAACTTCTTTGAAATTTTACATTGCATATTACTTCAAATCTTTCAATTAATTCAAATAAATCAAAAACTTTTAAGACATAATTTTGTTTACCAATTTTTCAGTTAGCATTTAATGGTAAGATCAAAATGTTATTGAAAAATTGAGATTTTTACAAAAACATGTTAAAAGCAATTTCAATATCCAACTAAGAACAGCCTTAGTGATTACTGGTTCAAGCATGCCCTATGTGAGGTACACTAAAGTTCTTTATTGAAAGAAGTCCTTAAAGTATTGAGCAATAAAACAAAAGTATGATAATGCATTGTTTGCTAGTTGAAAGAAACTTGCTCTAGTTTTTAAATTAACTTATAGTTTTTACAATCGTATAAAAGTATTTTCTTAAATATTTAAGTATGATTTAAATTTATGTACAAATAGTTACCCAAATGTATTAATAAACAACGATTATTAAAAAAATAGAATAAAAGAACAACAATTTACCAATTAAAGAAATTTAAAGTACATTAAATAATATTTTTGATATCAATAATCACTCTTTTAGTTTATACCTGCACATAAAAGAAGTATGAAAATTATTTGAAAACACTATTTAGTTTTAAAAGTAATTTTATTAAAAATTATAGAGTTTAAATACAACTTAAACAATAACTCAATTTTTTTAAATGTATTAAATTAAACACACATTTTCAATCAAATGTCATGAAAACTGCTTTTGATATGTATAACCAAATTATTTCAGGATATGAAAGTTTATGTGTTTTTTATAAAATCTCACTTACTTAAAATGTAAAACTTCAGTCTAATTCAAAAACATGTGAAATATATTGCATAATTTATCTCTATATAAAAAATAACGTTTGATTATTATGTAATGATCTCAAATATTGTGGGTTAATTTTAGGTATGTGGTGTAATATACAGGGCAAATGTGACACAAAGTGAAAAACCTTGAAAATTTTATGTGCAAAAAATCGATATCAAAATTTTAATTTGTGTACCATACATGTTTTTTATTTAACAAATTTCTTTAGAAATAAAATTACTAATTAAATTAATTACCTGCCAATGATTATCATACCTTTATAGTAACTAATTTAAGAAAAATCTCAGTTTTTACAAGAATCGCATTCAGGGTTCCCACTCTATGATGAGATTGAAATTCAAGGACTTTCCAGGACTTTTCAAGGACCTCAACAAAATTTTTAAGGACCTTAATCTAAGACCAATTTTAAAAATTATTCTCTTCTATTTTACTAGAAGCAACAATGCTTGTTGTGGCAATAATTAATTTCAAATATAATACCTAAATGCTTTGCCTATATAGAGAGAAGAGAGTATATGTATTATGGACTAAAATTTATATTTTTTTAAAAACAACCCTACTGGTTTTGCATACTAATTCTCAAAATCATTTTCAGCACAATCTATAACTAATGGTAATGAGGTGTTAATGGTGAAATCCTTTAATCCTGTGTATTTCCATGTGAAGGCTGCATGAAAGACAGAGCTAAATTTTAGGTATTCCATATTCCATGACTATTCCATAACCCCCTCCTTTCCTCTATTAAACATCGTTTCTGAAATTATTCATCCATAATTTACACAACATTCTCTAAATGTTATGCAGCAACAATTCTTTCTGAAAATAAAGATTAGAAGGAACACATCCCATTTTCACCATGTTTAAAAGCATTATTCGTTATGTGTAAACCACAATTGCCAATGAATATGACCTGGTGGGAATATTTCTCTTTTAATTCACACTGAAGCTTCTAATAGAATTTCCAATTGACATAGGGTCCATCCATGGATAATTGAAGTATTTTAGAGAGCTTTTAACCATCATCCATGCATTTGTAAAAAGAGGACAAAATATTTTCTGCAGTTCCATGACCCATAAATTGGGAGGTAAGATACTTAGTGCAAACTTTATTATCAATTCCTTACCATAATGTCCATCTGCTTAGATTGTAGAGACTGATTTAACGTCTCATCAAAGAGTACAGTGTAGCAATCAACATTCTTCAGCTCATTTATAAGAATCCCTTTGAAGTATAGTGCCAATCCAAAGGAGCCCAAATAGGCTCACTTTGTGGCACTACAAAAAAATTGTCTCGCTATACAGCTATCAGCAAACATTTTGGAGAACAATTTACTAATCCCTTCACAGGAGTTACATGAATAATTACTAGTGATGCACTTCAGACTCCAGAGAATTTCAGCATCAAGCACATTCCTTTTGACCAGATAAGAAGACAATGTTACCTCGGCCACTAAAGTTTCTGTTTCACATGGGGCACACGATGTTGAAGGAGTATTTACACCAGATGAATTAGATGTTGATGTCTTTGGAAAAAGAGAACTCAGGGCATGAGACTGCTTTTTTGTTTTACCTTTCTTTCATGTGTGATTTCAGAGCAGATTCTTCCATTTTCGCGATATCGATCTCCTTCATGCATAATCGGCACTTGGCTCTGAACTTCTTTTCGGGCATCGATAAAATCCATTCTTTATAAGCTTGATTATCCATCCATTGGGGATTAAAATAGCACTTCCCAGGCATAACTAGTCTAAACTACATAACACAAATACGAAGCCGTGCCTTTGCGAATACGCTTTACAATAAAGTTTTGAAATGACGCAAACGTAAGGACAAGTGCGGATGGTAAAACGGCAAATTTATTGAAAACTACAAGGTACATATTGTTACGAAATTCGAGAGTATTCCAGTTTCGATAAGAAAAAAGAAGATCTAAGCATATGCGACAGAAGATGAAGTGGAGTCTCGCCCCGAGCGCATTGATTGTCTGCTGTGTTCCGCGCGCTTGGCAGACACCAAGACGCTAGGCCCGGTTAGAAACGGTGGCGTTAAAAACCACGTGAGAGAGCTCGGGAACAAAACAGAAAGAACGAGAAAGATCCACGGGTGTTTTGTAAAAAGGGCCGTCGGCAGTATTGGACAAATTCAAGGACCTATCAAGTTTTTCAAGGACCTAAGACGTTTTTCAAGCACTTTCAAGGACCTAAATTTAGCAAAAAAAAATTCAAGGACTTTCAAGGACTCTCAAGGACCGTGGGAACCCTGGCATTGGAGTGTTGGGCTTTTAAAATTCGGTGAATATGAATCGCGATGTACGATTTTTAACTCATGTGAATACAAATCGCTACGTGTGACTTAAACTGGTTAAATACAAAAATTGATGCTTGATATTCAAACCACGTGAATAGGAATCATGATATTAGCGAATTCCAGAGCAGTTTCAAATATTCAAAATGGCAAAAATTCACCAAACTAAAAGAATCAATTGGCGAATTTCTGCCCATTGGCATAAGAATCACGTGTATGTAAGCGTCTCGCTAGCAGGAATCAGCAAAACTTTCAAAATTTGAATTTTAGATTGAAGAAACCGTGCAAATCGCGTCGGATTATAAGTTTTTGACTAGCAAAAATTTGAGAACTAATGATTTTGAGATATGCGGAATTCCGCGATATTCCCAAAAAAATAATTTGATCTGCTCCTAATTTTTAGACCAGGAAGGATAATACAAAAAACCGGAATTTCGGGATATCCCTGGAATACAATCACTCCTGGATATAAAAATAAAATACATAATAAAACATGTTAAAATAAAGGCCAATGGTAAATCATACTTGAAATATGCTAACTGAATAGCCATTTGAATATAACTGTCAGGGCTCAATTTCTGAGATTTGATAAAATCTTTTCCATAAGCTTCAAAAGTAAAACATGACATCTCAAGATCATCAACAAGGCTAAAACAAAATATATGTTGTAAATAATTAGTTTCATGAAAAGAAGATTTTCATTAGAAATAACAAAACTAATGAAAAACTGTAAACATTACAGTATTTAATCATAGTTTTTTTATTATGATCTTAATATGTTTTCTTGATTATCAAAATACTTAAATATAGTTTTTAATTTATAAAGACTAAGTTAGATGAATGAACAAAAATGAGAAAAATAATGTTGTTTGAAGTGTAGCAGGATAGGAGCAAACACGTAAAAAAAAAACTAATTTGAAAAAAAAGAAAAACAGCCAAAAGATGAAAGTGTCAATTTAATATTGTAGGGTACTGTATAAATTAAAATTGAATAAAGCATAATAAAAAATCTACTTAGAATAATAAGATCAAGCATAAGGTGTCATTTTTTTCGGAAAAATATATATGACTCTTCGGTATCATCGTTTTTTGTGATTTTTGGATATTATATATATATANCCATCGTTTTATATATATATATATAAAAAAAAACTAACAGATTAACATTTCATTGATTTTTTTTCGATTGATAAAATATCCAGATTTTTCAAGAATTCCCTCTTTTGTGGCTATGCTGAGAAGCTAAATATTTCTTAAATCAATATTATAGAAAGCTATTTTAGTTCTCAAAATAGTGAAATAATGAAAACATTGAAATTGAAATCCTATTGTCAATTTATTACTTTTTCAAGGTAAAAGTCATAATTATAAAATTATTAATATCAAAATATAGATATTTCCTAAATTCAGTAATGTTGACAGTTGAAATTTTTTTTAAATATAATGCATAGATAGAGATACGGGATAAATTAAAGAATTTAACACCATAGAGGATAGGTAACAAAATTTAATTTAAAAATATTTGCATTAAAAAAAAGACTAAATAAAAAGTGGAACATAGCTGAAATGTCTTTTATAATTTTAAATTAAAAAGGCATAAGCGTCAAAAGTTAAACAAGGAATATTTTAGACTGAAAAATTATTAATTTTATAACAGAATTTAATAATAATAAACAGATATCAAGAGGAAGATTTTCTAAAAATTCTAATAATACAATTGAAGAAGTTTTAATAATTTTTCATCAATGGATTTTGTGACTGCATAAGTAATATTTATGTTTTCAAAAGTTTTATAATGAAAGAAAAGAATTACCACAATATCAATATGAATGGTAAATACCTTTATAATAACTAATGTTTTAGAGAGTCACTTATTATTCTATCATTAAAAGCTATTTTTAGAAAGATTCAGGGTTTTAAAAAGCAACACAACATTAAATATTTCTTATCTAATACTAGTATTGAAAGATTAACTTATAAAGGAACACTTCTGGCATATTTCTAACTTTATTATTTTGTAACTAGAAAGTAACTGCAAGCGCCGAAATGTTCAATTTTAATACTATCGATTACTTCACAAACAAATCAGTAAAAGATTAAAACATAAATAAATACAAATAGAACATTCTAAATAACAAGATGAGTATTGGAAATGAACCTTTTTAGGTCTTTTTCAGCTTCTTCAATATCTTGAACAGTTTCATCGGAAAGCCTGAATCTTAACTTGGTAGGTTCAGTCACAGCACTTGAAGGTAACCATTTATTTCCCCGGGTTTTATCACTGCAAAAAAAAGAAGAAGAAAATGCAACAAATTAGAAAGAAATTTTAATTAAGAATGAATAAAAATTTAAATAGCAAAGCTAAGAAGAATATTTGGTATGTGAATTGTAGTAACAAATAATTGTTGAAAATTAAAAAAAAATGTTGAATTAAACATGAATTTTTATCTTTCATTATTATTTTTTTGAGAAAAAAAAACAAGAATAAGATGCCTAAAAATTATAATTTTAAATTTTACATCCAATAAAACATGAAATAAATAAAATTACTAAGTTTTTTGACACATTTTTTATAGTATTGGTGCATGAAATATTAAAACAATAGTCCAATTTAACACAGCAATGCTTCAACATATATCAAGAGATCGCCCTTAAATTCAATGGATAATTTTGATATTTTGGATTTGGGACAGAACTAAGGAGTTTCTCGAATTCTCTAAAGAACCCTAGTACTACAAAAAATGCATGCAAGAAATTTTTGTGTGAATTCAATATTATACTTGTTGTTTTACTAAGACACATACAAGCTACAGAGAATAAGAAATTTTATTTATGTCATTTGTATATTATATAAAAGTTATTACGATGAAAGTAGTATTTCAATTACTTACATATAATCATAGACGTGATCCATCATTTGAGTGATAGGAGGACCTTCAGCTGGACTATGTTCATAGGTCAGACCAACAACACCATCAGCTCCAACAATAAACTAATGTTTAAGAAAAGCAAACAAATCATATAAGCAAATGAAAACATAAATATGGTTCATAAAATTTATATTGTTTACTTAAAAGATTACAAAAGATATAATTTTGAATTCAGAAGAAAAAAAAAACCGTAATCTTGAAATAAATAAAAAAAATTGCTTCTTTATAGGACATAATTTGGTTAAAGACTGGAAGTATAGGAATTTTAAGAGGCTTTTCAATTTTAAAATTTGATTGGATTAGGGTTGATAGTAAATTTCTGGAAGAAAATTTCCTGAATACCAAGAGTAAAAATTCCAAAAAATAATATTAACATCAACACAATACATAAGTTAAGAATGCATAAGAATAATGTATGTGGACATAAACTACTAATAAAAAATCTTAAAAAGCACAAATAATTAAAAGTTATTAATATATATTATTATGAAATCACTATCATTTCTATAAGATAACTAGTTTCAGAATACAATACCATGATACATACAAACCTCAAAATTGAATGCCTAATAAATAATTTCAATTAATCAAATAATTGAAGAATTTCAAAAAGATTGTTTATAATTAAGTACCTAAAACTAAAAAAAAAAAGAAACTTCTTATAATTAGTTCAAGTTCAGATCTAACATACTTAATTAAATTAAAGAAACTTAAAAATTATTCAAACATCACAGGGAATAAATTACAATAAAAATAACTTCATGAAATATATGCAGTTAAAAACTAATAATTTGAGGGAAGGAGTTTATGATAAAAATTATGACTATTAGCAAAAATATTTACAAAAAGAAAACAAAATCAGACATTCTAGGTTTTGAACTTTTTTTAAGCAAAAATTTTGATTTCCCTGAATGTTTCAACAAAATTTTAAATCCTCCAAGTTTGGAAGGCTTTTTTCCTGCGGTGGTTTGATCCTTGTTGAATTAACTTCATGAAAATATATGCAGTTAAAAACTAATAATTTGAGGGGAGGAGTTTATGCTAAAAATTATGACTATTAGAAAAAATATTTACAAAAAGAAAACAAAATCAAACATTCTAGGTTTTGAACTTTTTTTAAGCAAAAAATTTGATTTCCCTGAATGTTTTAAAGGAATTTTAAATCCACTAAGTTTGGAAGTTTTTTTCCCTGAGGTGGTATTATCCTTGTTGAAATGGGGTTTGTGGCAAAGCTCTATAAATTTTGGATCTCTGGGAATGCAACAAAAAAGCATTTTTAAGACAAACAACTTAAAAGGAATTTTAAGAAAAAATTAGTTATTTAAATTTGAGGAAAATATGTAGATCTTATGGAAAAAAAATTAAGCTCAGTATGCTAAATGTTTAGTTTTATATACTGTAAAAAAAAAAAAAAAAGCAACAACCATCAAATATAACAAATTCAAATAAATAGAAAAGAACCAATTTATACGAATTGCAATTCCGATAAAAATTTATCTTTTGAGTATCCTTACCTGAATAGTTTTATCATACCATCTGTTTCCACCATTTGCTTGAGCACCTCCTCCATGGATAGTCTGAAGAGCTACATGAGTCTTCCTATTTAATAATCCAGCATCTGATACAGGTTTGTCCAGACATAAAACTAAAATTGCTTTTTGTATCACTCTTACAGATTCCTTATTCATTGAATCATCTAAGAGAAAAAAAATAAACACAAGTAAAGTAAAAAAATTTTTTTTTTATCATACTCCATATGTAAAATATATTGTTAACTAAATTTTTGTATTTTTAAGCTTACTCAACCCTCAACTACAAATATGGTTCCGACAAAATGTAACTAATAGTGATTATTCAGAATAGAATATAATTTAACAAAATAAAAATAGGTGTTGCATACAGGTGGGAAAGTAATATTTCATAGGTTTTCACGCAATTTCTGATAATGCCACAACAACATAGAAAGCAAAAATAAATGCTAAAACTCAAAAATATTATATTTAAATAGTTAATGAGACGTTTGTGATTAAGATATTTTTTTTTATCATTTATGGTCATAAAGTTTTTATTCTTAATATAACAAACTTAACATACATTCCATAACACATTACACTACATATTTGATCACCTATTTTTATATTCACACATTTTTTGAATATGCTGAGTGTTAATCTATAAAATATTCCAATGACTTTGTATTACTTGACAGGTATGAATTTCTTTCAAAAAAATCAACCCTTATATGGAGGAGGTTTGTTCTCCGTCAGTAACCGTCAATATTCGTATAGTGGAAAATAGTTTTATACAGTCTCCAGGAAAGAATATACAAATTGTTTAGTGAAATTTAGATTTTATTAAACATAATTGGTGATATAGAGAATGGCCATTTCTTCATCCAAAAAAAAAAAAAGAAAAAAGGATTCCCTCAAAGGGATGAAATCAGAATACCCTCTTATAGAGAGATCATACAACCAGAATATCATTTCTGATGGTTGGAAATTAAGACTGGGGAGGCCCGTAAGGGGGACGCCCAGTCTCCACAAATTTGAAATTAAAAGTGAATATAATTATTCATAACGGACAGAGAAAGTATGGGTAGGAGATCCAAAATTGGCGATTTATCAAAATATAACATAGCCAAAACAAAGCCAACCAGCATATCAATATTGGGTTTAAAAGAACACCTTGGCGATCACGAGTCGCCAACAAATTTATGAGAATTATTACAACCATGCAACCGAAACATTTAGCGGTTAGAAATTTAGAATAAAAAGTTATAAATAGATTTTTGTTTTCGATTAGAGGCGACAGTGAATTAATAAGTCTGCATTAGTAATGAAATAAAAAGTATCCGTTACATTGATGTATAAGAGAAGAATAAATATTTTCTGTTCGTTTTAAAAGATTAAGTTTTTGATTTATTTTAAATGTAATGCTATTAATAAAAAATAAGCTTAAGTAATGAAAGATATTTTAAAAGGATAGAAAATAAATATGTAATGCCAATTGTGGCATCACACTTTATTTCAGATTTGATTGTACTTACACTTGCATAATCTTTTGTATGCTTTTGCCCAGTTATCTCTATCAAGTGTTGTAAGAGCACCAATAGGTAGTTTTGGAAACTGAGACTGTTCAATCACTTTTTGTAACTGGGCTAAAAGTTGGCTTTCATTTAAAGGTTTACCATCATTTCCATACACATCAACACTAAAATACTGAAATAAATAAATAAAGGCTATTAAGCAGCCTACATAGTTTTTTTGATTTTATATCTTAAAAAGTATCAAATTTAAAAATAATAACATTTAGGTGACTAAATAAAAGTATTTAAACTGCTATAGCAGAAATATAGAATAATTAAGAAATTCAATTATTGAATTTGAAAACATAACTTTTACGTGTTTCATTTTGCAATTTTTTTTTTTTTTTAAAATAAATCAATCTATTACTTTCATAGTATATCACAGAGTGAAAAGATAATAATACAGTCATATATCAAATGATATTTAACTTATACCGAGATATAATGCTAAGAACTAACTTAAATCTACTTCATATGATGTATATTTTCCATTTTTTGAAGTGCAAGCATCAGTTTATAAATGATTTTAATAAGAAAGCAGGTAATTTTTTATTCACATATAAGTCATTTCTTAATAAAAACTTTTTAAAAAATATTTTAAACTAAGTTCTTAAGACTTATTTATAAACTAAACTATAATTGTTAATATTAATTAAAAAAAACTTGATTAAAATCTTTTAATTGGGCTGGGAATAAATACTATAACTATATAAGCTTGTTTCAATTGTGTCAGTTTTTATTTTAGAAAAATTCTTAATATTATATAATATTTAAAGCATAAATGAATGAACACTACATAAATAAATCAATACTACATAAATGAATAGTTTTCTACTGCAGTACAAAAATTTATATAATGAACAAAAATTTATAAAAAATTCTTACATGATTATTGTGCACAACAACAATATGCTTAGGCCTATCTTTTTCCATTCCATAGAATGCAAGTGAATCTTTAGGAATATTTGGAACTCTGCAGGTAGAAAATATTTTGAGATACTGTGACATATCAAGAGGTTGCCCACCCATTTTTTCCAATTTTAGAGTTTGGCTGAAAGGAAAAAAAAGAAGAACATGCTTAAGAGGAAATGAATAAATAGAATGAGTTTAAGCATATTTAAAAAACGTTTATTTAAGATACATTTAATTTCATAATCATTTCTATAATAGTACACATTTTCCTTTATATAGGGGGTAACATTCCGCATACTCTCTAAAAAAAGAAGTTTATTAGCAAAAGGACATTTGCATTAAAAGGACTTTGAAATAATGAAAATAAACTGTTATCTTTAAACAGAATGATTAAGGTCATAATTTGGAGGTGCACAACACAACTCGCAGTTCAGAGTTGTAATGTGGCTCTGGAATGATCAATGTGTAGGATATTACCTTTAAATAAAAATCATATGAAAAACTACAATTATTTATATTATCTTATATAATTACGTTGATTTCATAATTACCTTTAGAATTTTACTTTTACTTTAATTACATTTATGAATATTGCTCTGGTGTGAAGCCTGTAAAAATGATTAAAGTGTGGATGTTTTATTTTCAAACTCTATAACATCCTGTATCTCACAATTATTATGTCCTTTATGAGGGTGTTTAATAATTAAATCACTAAGCGCCCCATTAGTTCTTAGTCTGAATCATTGAAATATATAGTGATTTCTCATCAACTATTTTCATTCAATCTTTTTTCCTTATTATTTTTCAAAATTACTTTATATACATTTGTTTAAGTTTTACAGATGCAAGACTTTTAAAAGTAGAAGTAAGAAATTTTTGTTTAATAGCCTTCTTTAAATAATAATCTAACTTAAAAAATATTTTCCCTTTTCTTTTCTTTTTCAAATTCTTAATACATAAAACGAAACTTTTAAAAAAAATCTAAGCTTTTATAATAAATTTTTTAATCTAATTAATTTTTTCTAGTATAATTAAATTTTTTTGAAAATTTAATTGGCAAGGGATCCTCTAGAGCAGTGGTGCGCAAACTATGGGTCGCGACCCCAGTGGGGGTCGCCAGAAGTTTTTTGGGGGTCGCCAAATTTTTATGAAATGCATTATCCCTGCATGCTGCATACCATACAATGTACATATTCTTTCTTCT